ATATAATATGTAACTATGTTAATCAATTGACCAAACGTAGGATGTCGGAGGTTCAAGTTTCTCTTTCAGCAAAACTGACAGGCTACTCGCGTAAACAGTAGTGTAATAAAGCCACGAATTCAAACATCCCAGTGTGATAGGTTCACAGCGGGCCGATATTTTTCCGCCGATGACATTGCAGAATATGACCTCAATTGATAACTGCTTTTTGGCGTGGCTAAGTAAAAGGTGCAGGGTTAAATGAAAAAAATCGCAAACACCAGCCATTCTTCAGCTTAATTAATCAAGACGGGTGCCATGTTAAAAAATACATAGAACTGACTGTACGCAGTTAAACATGCCCACTGCTTTTTTTGAATGCACCATCTTGCTTCCTTTATGAATGTGGTTTAGAACGCACAACGACAGCATTTGCGTTCACGATGCTGTGTTTTTCTTGCTAGCTCTTTAAAACACTCTTCCACTCATGTATAAAAGGAAGCGAAAAAAACATGTGTTTTCAAGAAGCAGGGAACAACAACGCTTATGCTGCATCGTTATTGAGAGTGGAAGGTATGAAATCTAGCTACGGTGAAGACCCGCCGTATGGACGAGACATTCGTGCATATAGAGAGCGCACAACTTCCATCAGATAAACAAAGAGTCATTCCCATGGTATAAACAAAAGACGGAGTGATTACCGCACGCACATCTGCTAGAGCTGCTGGTCATAGCTCAATCACTCTGGCGCCCACACCTGTTGAAGGCTGTGTACAAGTGTTAGTGGCGACGTACCGCGGCTGGCTATTTGCTTGTTGTCAGTATTTTGTCATCTGATAGTCTAATATTATATGGTTGCTTCGTTACTGATGATGCAGAGAAAGCTGCATGCCTAGGCAACTTTTTCCCCTCGGTATTTTCACCTAAACACAGTTGCAACTAGCGTGCAGCTATTAGGAGCGTTTCGCGTATGTTCCATCCGAGCTTAGTGGTAATAGAAGTGAAAAAATTTGAAGGATGTTGAATGAAGCAAATCTAGTGGTCCAGAGGAACTTTTTCTGAGTATACTTAGCCGTTGTGCGGGGCTAATATTTGTGTACCTGTATGCAATTTAGAAGATTTGTAGTGACAGGTATCTTACCATATGACTGGATGATTGCGCACGTGGTGCCAACACATCAATATGGTTCAAAAAAGAACATTGATAGGTATAGACCAATATCGCTTACGTCTATTACTTGTAAATACTTGAGCTCATTTTATATGAAGAAATGATAAATCGTGTAAACATGCACAAGGTACTCATCAAAAAAGAAAGTGAACTTCAAAGAGGACTGTCTTGCACGACACAATTATTAGAATTTTATCACGATGTGATATCGGGCGTGGGTAGTGTAGGATAAGTTAACGGTGTGTTCCTGGATTTTTGTAAAGCCTTTCACATGGTGTCACGTTCACGCTTGCTGTTTAACTTACCACCTTAATTATTATTAATACTGTTTCTTTTTGTGTGGAATTCTACATTTCTCAAAGAAGACAAACCGTAGTAATGGAGAGGAAGTGCTCCGAATACGCAGATTTTACTTCAAGGGTACCACAGGGCACTGTTCTTGGTCTGCTATATGTTTAATTATGTTAATGCTATATCAGCAAAAATTTCATCTTCTATACGGTTGTTTTCTGGATAATTTGTTGTGTACAAAACGGTTCTAATCTCAGTGAAGCATTAGAAGTTCAGCAATAGTTATCACTTATATGTAACTGGTGTGTGGAATGGAAAAGGTTTTGAACATAAGAAAGTGTGTATATATTTCATTTACAAAAAAGGATCAAGCCATTTCCGTCATAGTACCACCTGAAAAATTCACAGACAAAACGAGATAGTACATACAAGTACCTAAGTGTGCTACTATAATCTAGATGTTCATAAAGACCACGAGTGGACCCTCCACACAGCGAAAGCTGGTAGCGTATATATCTCACTCAAAGAAACTTGTGAAATTGGCATGCCAATTCAAAACTTGTGGCGTACACACTTGCATCAGGCCTATCTTGTAATACGGTGTTTGCGTGTGGAGCCCAATTGAGGTAACCTTAGTTGCTTCTCTTGAGCAAGTACAAATAGTGTAGCTGTGTTTTTCTTGCGACTGTACGGAAGGAGGGAGAGCTGCACTGCAATTACAGGTGAGCTAGAATGGAGTGTCTTTCTGACCGCAATAATAAAAAGAGATGAAAATTTATCTATACGATTTACTATATCAGACTAGAAATAACATAAAGATTTATCCACACATAAATCACACTATTTCAAAAAGGTTTGATCATTGTTGTGAACTCCTGGAAAACTCAGCTAAAAGAAACGCGTATGCCAATTCATTTTTACCAAAATGTAAAACTTAAATGCGCTAACTGAAAAAGAAGTTGATATTAGGCGTGAAGATGTCGTTTATTAAATGCTGTAAACATGTACTCAAACCTTAACGATGGTGAACTTGTTTGGGAGCAGAATGGAATTATTTGTGCGAACAAAGGTGTATTTAAGTTATTCATGTATGAATGAAGTTGTATATGTGTGCGCCCAAATATGTAATTCACTTATTAATGTAGAACGCCTGCTATACTGCCTTCGGGCGCTGTGGGGTGTCTGATGAATAAAAAGTAAAAAATAAATAAACAGAAGACACATTTGAGGAAGCTTCAGTGGAAGTAGGTGAGAATGGCGAAGGTACAAGTATGGCGGCCACGTGATATTTAGGGTTCGCTATTTTCATTTACAGAGCACCTTACGATCTAGGCTGCTTCACTGTGTGGTCTTCATTATCCGGCGAAGCTCACGCAAAGAGCCCACTGCAGCAAATGACGATGGCGCTGATGAATAAGAGCTTTACAGACCATGCACTTTTTTGTCAGGAACGAAAGCGATCTTAAAAGAGCTCTCACTCCTGAAAGGTGAAACGGCAACGCCAACAACAACCTGCTACTTCGAAGGCAGAGCGTGGCATACGGTAGTCAATGTACATGTATACAGCAAGCAAGCCCTGAGGCGAGAGCTCAGGAAGCAGAGGTAAAACAGCAACGCGAGACGAGCTGCCCCCCCGCACCAAACTTCAGGTCGCACGAAGCAGCAAGGGCACATTGTGTATACTGTATGGGAGAAATGCTGAGAATACACCCCACCACTGTATTAATCATTCATAAATTATGAGAAAGCTTTTTATTCAGTATAGATATCAGCTGTCATGCAGACACTGAGGCATCGCGGTGTCGAAGAAACATATAAAAACATAAAAAAATCTACTGGCAATCACTTGCCATTATAGCGCTCCGTATTGAAAGCGACACACTAGAAGTAAAGAAGGATGTAAGATTCGAAGACTCGGTCTCCTCAATGCTATTTACCGAGTGTTTAAAGAAGGTTTTTATTGATATTATAAAGACAATGGTTAGGGAATTGAGGTAATGGAGAGTATCCAAGTAACCTGCGCTTCGCCGATGACATTGGATTGCTGAGTAACTCAGAGAACGAATAAAGATTCATGATCACTGAACTAAACAAGGAGAGCATAAAGGCCGGTTCAAAAATTACTTGGAAGAAAGCAAAACTATTATATATAACCATCGAAAGAGAATAGTGCTTTTAGATAGGTAGCAGTGCACTTTAAGCAGTAAAAGAGTACGTCAACAAAGAACAGATAGTGACCTTGCAGCCAAACAGCGAGATAGAAGTCGTTAGAAGAATGAGAATGGGTTGCAGCACATTCGTCAAGCATTCAATAGTCATGACTGGTATATTGCCAGTATTCCTCAAGATGGAAGTGCATAACAGCTGCATCTTGCTGACACTTGACTACAAAGCAAAAACTTGCAGTTGTATAAGCAGGGTTCAGTTCACGTTGAGGGCGACACAGTGGGCGTCGAACAGGAACATATGTGTAACCTTAAGAGACAAGAAAAAAGTAGAGTGGGTGAGGGAACTGGGGTTGAGGATATCGTAGGTGAAATCTAAAAGAAATGTACATGACCCAGGCACGTAGCACATGGGCCAGAAAACCACTGGTCATAATTTGGCTGGATTCTTGGAGAACGTGAAAGGAGACAGAACGTTAGCTGTACAGAAGATACTATGACGTGTGCGGGTATAATGTGTTGCGTGCCCAGGATCGAGTTGACTGGCGGGACCTGGGAGAGACATTTGTCCTGCAATGGGCGTAGTGAGGGTGATGAGTAAGCTGATGTATTGCACACTCGTTGCCACCTTCACACATGTCATGGGTGCTGCTGAGTGGTTCGCTCAATTCTTAAGAATAACTTCATAGATATGCGCAATTTTTTCAGCTGAATAGCTTCTGCATGGCGTGTATCTATATGGCATTATTAGAGACCAATTGCGTTTTGCTCTCCGCAAACTTTTTATTGAAGCAATGATGCTGGAGCAAAATGTTAAGCTCCTTTACTTGAAAACCCCTTTTTTTCAATGTGCCCTCGATGTCCCTTATAAGTGTGATACACAAAAATATGAAAATAGGATGCTCTATATTACTTCAGTGTAAAGCTCTCATTATACAACATTAGTTTCACTGAATTTGGCCTTCCGCTTGTGTTTATGCTGCTAATAACATTTAGAACTTGTTGAAAATAAAGAACCGCTTGATCAAAGTCCAATACACACAGGCTCAGTTTTGATGTTTAGTGATATGTCTGCCAAATAGACACGTATCACATGACGTGTCCTTCAAGAAATATTTTCATAAGCAAGAGCATAAAAATCATGACTTGTCAGTGTGGATCTTGCAAAAAAGAATAACAAATAATAACTACAGCATGCTTGTCATGTCCTTTGTAATTATAACGAAACATTGAACCATCGAACAAGGCTAGGAATAGTGACTTGTCGGTAATCGATTGCCGCGATAATGTCTTCATGTTTTCTCATTGTTATATTCTATGGCGCCGTATATAAATACAGAGGAGTCTAGTGCTCAAGGACTCCATCCACCGACTGAACCTTGAGGAAAGTAAACATGAAGCTTCTTGTACTCTCTCTTGCCTTCGTTTCAGCTCTAAGCCATGTTAAGGGCGATAAGCCAGTTTGGGCGGATGAAGCAGCAAATGGAGCACACCAAGATGCAGTGAAGGTAAAGTGATTTGCTTTGGTTGTGATATTTTTGCATGAAGAAACTTATGACAAGGATATAGTTTTTTCATGTCAGCGTAAAAGGCAGTGATTGGAGTTTTCATTGTAATGACACATAATAACTCATCAAAGCATCAAAAATCAACACACCGTTTATTATGTGCTCTCAAATAGTTTTCAAACGATCTTCAGTAGACTTAGTACTTGAGTTAGTTGAGGGGTAGGCAAGGCTGGTCTATTTCCGACAACTTCCACAATGATTAAACTTTTTTTGTTGGTTATCGCTTGTTTTTTCAGCAACTTCCACATTGTGATTTGAGTTGAATATTTAGTACAAAGTGTTTACATGCGTAATACCTGCACAGAAATGTACTTTATGCCTTGATGGTGTAATAAGACGCTTGTTTTATTGTTTTTATATGCATACCATCGGGTGAAATGCTGGAATGAAGTATCCTGTTATACCCGTAACGATTACTACTTCTACTTGCATACATTTTATTTTTATTTTTAGTTTTCAGGTGTTTTACACTAACACAAAAATATAATCATGCCTTAACAACACATCTGATTGGCCACAAGGATGTTACACTGTAATCTACGCTTCCTTAGATATATACGCGGACCAATAGCATCAGTACGCCTTCGCCTGAAGTGTCGTCTTACGCTAAGGCGTCTGCTTCCAAAGTTGTTTTTCTGAACAATTGCGTCTGAGTAGTGCTTGCAAGGCCATTTCGAGAAATCCTTGCTCTAGACAGCAGATGAATCATGACTGGAGGCGTAGACAATGACGTCGGCCTGTGTATCCGGGAAGACAACAAAACAGAAGTATTTGACACTTATGATATTCGTAACATCGTTGTGCTCGAAAACTTGAAAAAGTCACACTCTTGCATTTGTCTACTAGAACCTTTTCAATTATGTCATCTTCTCTTTTTATTACGTCACTGCACTAGCTTCAAATGCCAAACTATACTTTATACCACGTCCGAGAACTGATTTTTTGAAATAGAATATATAGATTCTATAGTCATGTGAAGCCACAGCATGTAATAACATAGGGAGGCCATAAGGCATGGGACTATTGCTGTATGCCAATTAGCGCTCGACTGTTTTTCTGCCCCCTTCGAGAGCAGTGGCCACTACACAAATTGTAACAGTCATTTATGCATTTCGCCTGTTGAATTTCAATGTAAATTCACGTCTATTCTCTTATCTTGTGATACCAATCGAGGGAATGTAGGCAGACCCTTCAAAACTAAACGTTGATGCGACAGCATAACTAATTACAAGTAACGTGCTCGACATTAGATTTTCTCAGTCGAAGCTCCAAATTAATTACCTATATTTCCTTTCAGCATCTCAAAAATAGTCTTGACGATGCTTACGACATGGTAAAAGCGACCTATAAGAATGACCCAGTGTGGGGAAATAACTTCAGATGCTTGTATGCTGAATTTGACAGCTTTAATGAGGACGAGAAGAGCGTTGACGCATGGTTTATGTTTATTAATGATGCTGATGCACTTTAGTAAGTAGAACTTTGTTTCTTATTTGATATGCGAAAAAGTCAACACAATGTTGTCATGAGGTTATGACGTGGACAAATCTAGCAGTCTCGATGTTCTGACTAAACTGTTTATTCGGCCATACTTTTGGCCGGTAAATGGGAAGTTAGATGACAGCCACACACCGGCACTAATAGCCGCGAGCAGAGCGTTAGCCGTCGATGAACTGACAAGCAGCTCAGCGGGCTGCTGTTTTTACATTTGCCGGTGAAATCTCCAGCCGTACCACTGGCATTAGCATAAGTGCTAAAATTATCTCGAGTGTTCGTGCACAAACTCAATCTTAACAGATCAATATATACTGACCGCGAAACTTCTTGGAGAATATAGTGCAGTATAGGCTGAGCATTCGTAAGGCTTCGTGGTGGAAAAGCCGAAAAAACGAAAGGATAAAAAAGAAACGTGCGTACCATTATAAGATTAGTTAGTGATTAAGGTCCCATAACCACCATATTGACGCAAGGTAGGCTGGCAACTATAGTAGAACGCCTCAAGAGGACAACGAAGTAGTTGTGTGGGCGCGTGCTCTGCTCTTCACGCTTTTAGCCTTTGGTTACGAAAGTAAACGCCCTGTTTAGTGCCTGCGTACTTGTGTCTTTGTGGCATTTTCTGGTGGAAATCTGGGGTATAGGTAGATGATACGATCCCCTGAGAGAACCCCTGACGCCAGTCCATCGAGTAGCTCAGCCGAGCTTACCCCTCCTTACGTACGTTCTAGCCATCGTCTCAAGGGACTGGAGCCATAGCACGGTTTGCTGCCTGAACGTCAGAGGACTATGAATCAAACACCGCCTAACCACCGCACCAGCACCAGCGCACCTGGTTGTCAACCAGCCCAAGACGCCAAAGACATTTTACGGAGCTGTTTTTGAAGATGCCGACGACTGGCTTGAGCATTTCGACCGGGTCACCATCAACAACGATTGGACTGCAGATCGTAAGCTATGCTATGTGTACTGCCTTCTGGAAGACTTAGCGAAAACGTGGTTTGAGAAGTCTGAAGCAACGCTTCAGTCATGAGATGAGTTTCACCGGCGGTTCCTCAAGGCATTTGCTCGAGAGGACAGGAAAGATATAGCCTAGCACACTATAGAGGCAGGTGTTCAAGGCCCTAACGAAAGGGCAGCGACTTACATAAAGGACATTGATCAGTTTTGTAGGCGTACGGAGACCTCTATGGCCGAATCCAAGAAACTTCGCCACCTAATGCGTCGTGTTTAAGAAGAGATTTCAGTCGGCCTAATTTAAAACCCGCCTGCGACACTTGTGGAGTTCTGTGAGGAAGCCACTGCCATGCAGAGGCCCTTCAACAGCGTGCCAGGCAGTATAACCAGGGTGTACATCTAAGTGAGGTCACTTGTGTCACTCTCAGCAATGACATCAGCGCGTTGCGAGTGCTCATTAGAGCTCTCATTAAGGAGGAGCTACAAAAGATGCAGGTGACTGCTTCACCTGTAAAGCCACTCTCCGTTGCGGAGATCGTACGCGCCGAGCTACGGCAAGCCGTTCACCCTTCCCACAGTCCGAGGCGCCACAACAGAGGCACTGCATCGAGATGAGCTACGCGGAAGCAGTGCGACGTCCTCCATGGTGCAGTTCATCAGGCGTGTTTTACCCCAATTAGCGACACGCTCAGCAAATAGAGGTAGGCTTCCGTCCTCACAGCCCACCGTTGATCACCGAAGCAAGATCGAGAAAGAGTGACATGTGGGGTACAGCCGACCACAGGCCCTTTTGTTTCCACTACAGGGAAGCCGGACACGTCTACCGAACATGTGCACACTGTCGTGTGGGCCTCCATGGTTTTTCGCCTGATGCCTCTCATCCACGACCTGGCGAGCGACCGCTGGAAATAGAGAGTTGCATCTCGAATCGCTGCAGTATCGAACATCGTTCGCAAGAGCCCCGCTCGTCTTCGCCTGCTCACTACAGGTCATCGAGCCCAGCCTATTTACGCGGCGATTCGAGACGCCGTTCACCCAGTCATGTAAGACGGGAAAATTGAGTTCAGCGACATGAAGGTGCGGCTGCTCACGCTTACTCTCCGGAAGATCTTTCACTAAGACGACAGCGACGGCAGCGAAAAGATGTACATAGGCAGTCAAACGTGATACGAAGAGTGGGGACATCAAACATTGCCGTAACTGTGGATGACGAAGAAGTAATGGCACTAATCAACACTGGAGCAGACTCTTCGGTAATGAGCATGGGTCTTGCCTGCAGGCTGAAGAAGGTTTCTACCCTGTGGGCTTGGTCGCAGATACGTACGGTAGGAGGCCATTTTCACACTCCGGTGGGATGGTGCACAGCGCGAGTCACTATATACAGATTTACGTATCTCGTAGTTTTAGTGATAATGCCGAGTTGCTCGAGGGACCTATTTCTCGGACAGGACTTTCTGCGTGATAATGGGGCCGTAATTGACTTGCAAGAGTCGCAGGTGATGTTTTCTACGGCACGCGCTTTAGCACTCAACCCTCACAGCCGTTGCGTGGATGCTTTGAGAATTGTTGAGGATGACGTCACGCTACCACCGAAGAGTAGCGGGTCGACCTTTGTAGCCTGCGACGTTTTTGATGAATTCAAAGACTATGAAGGTATTGCAGAGGAAAATATCTCTCTGCTGCTCAAACGAAACATCAGCATAGCCCGATGCCTGGTTAGGTTAGAGAATAAACGCTCGCGAGTTCTGCTGACCAACTTCAGCAATGAGTTTCAGCACGTCCCCAAAGACACTACTGTCGCTTTCCTTAGGTAAATCGCCAACGTTTTCTATATCATCACATTGGCTACGACTTCACCACATGCAAAACCTTGTGCTGACCTCGGAAGCCGCATTCACGTTCATCCAGACTTGCCAGCTTCACGGATACAGCGGCTGCTAAACCTTGTGAGGGAGTTCTCGGACTGTTTCTCCACAGCATCAAAAGTTGAACTTACCGCCGTTACAAATCACCGCATTGTACCCGAAGAGTCGCCGCGGTCCTCTTCGCCAACATCTATACCGTGTGTCTCTGAAGGAAAGAGATGTGATTAGGCATCCATTCAAAATATGCTGAAGGATGACATCGTTCAGCCCTCGATTAGTCCGTGGGCGCTACATGTTGTCTTAGTAAAGAAAAAAGACAACACACTATGTTTCTGCGTCGACTATTGACGGCTTATCGAAGTCACAAAATGTGACGTTTACCTCCTGCCACGGATTGATGACGCCTTAGACCGTCTACGCTGCGACAAGTTTCTTTACATCAATAGATCTCAAGTCAGGGAACTAACAATTTAAAGTTGACGAGGGCGACCATAAGAAAACCGCGTTCGTGACTTACGACGAGCTCTACAAATTTAAAGTGTTGTCTTTCCGTTCCTGTTTCCCTCCCACCGCTCTTCTACGCATGATGGACACTGTACTAGCTGGACTAAAGTGGCAGACGTGTCTTGTATACTTCTATGACGTCGTTGTGATTTCAAGCACATTTGACGAGCATCTTTCCATGCTAAGAAGTGTCCTCACTGCAACAAGGAGAGCGAACCTCACTATCAAGCCCAAAAAGTGCTACTTTGGCTATGAAAAATTCAAGTTTTTCCGCCACCTGGTGAGCGCGGGGGGTTGTTTGACCAGATCCGGAGAATTTAGCTGCGATTGCGGATTTTCCTCGTCCTGGAGACAAGAAGGCTGCTCAGCGACTTTTGGACTCTGTGCATACTACCGCCGTTTTGTCGAAGGATTTTCGAAAATCGCGGAACCTGTTACAAGACTGGCACGGCCAGATGTGCCATTGTATGGACGGAAGAACAAACGAGCCTTCGTAGAGGTACGCAATTGAGTGCAGACAGCTCCAGTGGTGGCACGTTTCGACGACGCTGCCGACACCGAGATTCACACAGACGCCAGCAACGTAGGAAATGGAGCCATGCTAGTTCAATGGCAGAACGGCGCACAGCGTGTGATTGCTTCCGCGAGCCGCAGTCACACAAAAGTAGAGGTCAACTACTCTACCACTGAAAAAGAGTGCTTAGCAGTCATTTGGGCTATTAGCAAGTTTCGACCCTACCGATATGGCCGGCCGAATTGAGCTGTCAGTGACCCCCATTCGCTCTGCCGGCTTGCCCAACTACGGGATCTATCAGAACGCCTCGCCCACAGAAGCCTCCGCCTTCAAGAGTACTACATAACGGTGGTTTACCGATAAGGACATAAGCATACCGATGCTGACTGCCTGTCTCTTTCTCCTAGTTCCCCGACGTCATATGACACTATACAAGGATTACCGTTTCTTGGCAACGTCGATGTGGTGCGGGTGGCTGAGCTTCAACATGAGGACACTGAGCTACTTCCTCTCATCCAGCATCTTCAAGAAGAAGACTTTATCGTACCGCGCTGGCTCCCACGTGGATTAACATCGTATTGCCTGCGGAACAATCTTCTCTACAAGAGAAATCTTGAGAGCCGCCAGGAAACTTTTTTTCTCGCCGTTTCAACGAAAATGCGTGAGGAAGCTTTGCAGGCATGCCACGACGATCCTTCTGGCGGTCTCTTAGGCTTCGCTAGGACATTAGCGCACATCAGAAAAAGTACTACTGGCCACAGCTGTAATCGTTTGTTCAGCCCTATGTCCGCACCTGCCGTGACTGTCAGAGGTGCAAAGTTCCACCCGGAAAGCCCGCCACCTTCCTCCAACCTTTAGATCCACCTTGACCTTCATTTCGGCAAGTGGGAATGGATCTTCTTGGCCCATTTCCTACGTCATGCTCTGAAAATTAGTGAATACTCGTCACAACCGACTTTCTGACTCGCTATGCAGAAACCAAAGCTGTGCCTAGGGGAACTGCAGTTTAAGTCGCCAGATTCTTTGTCCACGGCATTGTTTTGCGTCATGGTGTAGCTGCTGCTCTCATAACCGATTGCGGAGCAGCATTTACGGCACAGTTATCGCAACAAGTCACGAAGCTTATGCACACCAACCACCGGAAACAACAGCTTATCATCCCCAAACGAACGGCTTGGCAGAGCGGTTAAAATAACGCTGTACGTCATGATGTCTATGTATGTTGATGTAGACCACGAAACCTGGGATGAAATTTTGCTTTACGTCACGTTTGCTTATAATACTGCTGTGCAAGAGACCACAGACCTAACACCATTCGAGCTTGTTTATGGCCGTCGTGTCGCAACACCGTTAGACACTATGCTTCCCGTAGACCAGGACACCAGCGGAAATGGCAGCACTGACGACTTCGTTGAGAATGCCGACGAAGCCCGCCAGCTTGCACAGAACTGCATTCACACGCAGCAAGGTATCGACGCTTGCCGTTTCAACCAAGGCCGAAGGAAGGTCCACTATCAACCAGGTGACTATCTATGGATGTGGACACCAGTTCGACATCGTGGGCTTTGCAGAGAAGCTATTGCGACGCTATTTTGGCCCTTACAAAGTTGTGCGCTGCCTCATTGACCTGAATACCAGGTAGTTCTCCAAAGTTCCGATACCAGTTTAAACTGTAGACGTCCATGTTCAGAAGTTGTCCATGTAGTACGGATGAAGCCGTACCACGCCCGCGAGTTATGAACACTTTGAACTTTTCGTATTACCTACCAGAGCGCGGGATTATTTTTTTTCATTGACGTGATCAATTTCATCGACATCTCTAGGATCTCAGTCAATCGACCGGGACGGTCGTTCTTCAAAGAGCGAATTCGATGCAAAGTATTCTGGCAGCTATAGTACCCAACATCTGAGGAGGACAACGAAGTAGTTGTGTGGGCACGTGCTCTGGTGCCCACAACTACTTTGGCTTTGGTTACAAAACTAAACGCGCTGTTTATTGCCTCCGTACCTGTGTCTTTGTGACAATATGATTATAAAAGACCCCGTAGTGAAGAACTCCGGAAATATCAACCATGTGGTTTTTTCCCCTCTGGGAAAACCAGCATGTAAGGCAAAGTTTTACGTCACAGCAGTAATCACTCAACTATGTTCATACACAAGATTGAAAATGTTACGAGGCAGTGTTACAACACCGTAAAATTTTCCTAATATTTCCGCTCTGATAAATTTCCTTCGAGGCGCTCTGCGGTGTGGGTCGCCTATTCGGCGCTTTTGTGTCTTGCGCTGTACGCAAGTGCTGAACAGGGACCCTATAATATTGCGTCACTTGTTCATGCTTTTATTTTGGTGTGAATTGTTGATGCAGTTATGGATGGGAAGGAACAAACTTTTTATGGACCAGTACAAATACAAAGTATTTGCTGCTTGCGTAAAAAAATTTTTTTTAAATAGATCATTACCGCTGCTCTGTCGAAGCTGTTGTTAGGCCTTGAGTGAAACGAATCGGTTTTAATGTTTAAGTGTTTTGTTATGGGCGCTAATTCATATCAAAGTACGAGCGCGTCGACGAAGTTTTCTTTCCTCATATATATATATCTATTATATAACGCTGTTAGTGTGTGTGTATCTCGGCTCTCAATTGAGGTAGGCTTGCCTTCCTCCTCGCAAAAAGTTTTTTACGCCACAGATTCTGACCGTATAAAATGACATGCGAGCAGAGGCAAGTGTGGCTTTTGGTCTGCGTAGCCTCACGACGTTCGAAATGGTAGAGGCTGCATGTTGAACCGAAATATGAATTCACTTTGCACTAGGCCACTCTTTGTTTGCTTCCGGCATCACCATAGCGCCGGAGTTTCTTTCTGACTGGCTATATGATACACCTGGCTACAATAAATAATTATTAAAATTCTACGCACGAAAATTCAGACAAGTTACGCAAGAGACGAGGCGCCCATACTCGTCTCTTGTGCTCATTGCCTGATTTTTTTGCGCTGAGAAGTTTAAAATTAGATTACCAAATAGTCAAGTCCCAAACTTGACAAAAATAAAGCGCCATCGCATACAAAAGTGAGCGTAATTATTGCTGTTATGCCCAGTGTACTTAGTAAAAAGTAAAATGTGTCAAGCACTACAAATAACTCCGAAAAATGTTTATTTCGGGAACAAGGAACCACATATATACGTAGCATTGCTTACCACATGCCAGTTATGCCAAGAGCATATTGAAACGAAAGCATATTGAAGTTCGATGCGATCGTTCGGGCTAGCCAACTGACGCTAGGCGTCCTTACTTTGTGGAATGCCACGCATCCCAGTGTTGACATTTTTTATTCATCAGATAGTACGTGATTTGATTCTTGCACGTTGTCATTGATATGGCCCTTCTTTTTCAACGTTTTAGCAATACCTTCTTAATTCACGCACAAAATTAGCACATAGTGCCTAAGTAGTATTGATATTGTATTTAAACTCAAAACATTTTGCAAGTAGTATCGTTCTCCCAAGAAAGTTTTTTTTTTGAGAGCGAGCTTTTCAAACACTACATTGGTTGCACTAAAGTGTACTATTATAGATGAAAAAGAATATATTTTGAAAGAAGGTGGTGATAGTTTGAAAGTGGTTTTACAGAAGCTGTAATGATACAAAGGAATTTATGTTGTGTTAGACTTGATCTACACATTATCAACCAGTCAACAGTTTCTTTTCGGAATAGAGTCGGCTGTCCAGGAGAATGGCGAATCAATGTAAACGGCTTTAGTTCCGCAATAATGACACAGGGTGGGCACACATACACTAGTATGCGTCATACGGACTACTAGCAGGGTTTAGTTCTTCAACAAGCTCTAGAAAAGTATCTCAGTGTTCTTGCAAGAGCCAGTTGGAATCTGTGCAGCAGCGTTTTCCAATCTCTTCACAAAGAGGTTAGCAGGCTAAAAGCATAACTTGAGTGAATAATTTAAAGGCGCTGACGGTAACGCTTAGTATATAGTCGAATACAGTAATAATCCTTCTGTGATTATTCTGAAATAAAATCAGGCAGAGAAAAATTGTGTGTAAAAAATCATTAAATTTGTTTCAAAATTTCAGTGCATGAGTGTAATCTTGAGGAAAATATAGATATACCTTATGGTTTAGTGGAGATTTAATTACGAATAGTTAAGCCTAATGAATTCTTTGAAATAGATAATTACAGAGCGGAATAAGATAGTACCTCCAGAATTGCGTTCATTTGTGGAAATATACAACACAAAAAACATATACGCTCCATCACAGCTGACAGATTTTTGAACTTTTACGCTTAACTGAGTGTTCATCACTTAAATCTATATAGCACTTCTTCCGAATGCACACTTCTCGGCCCATGGTAGGAACCTTGATTAGGCTAACTGCTGTGTCGGGGGCTGGCTGGTCCTGACGAAGCAGAAGAAGAAGTCGGCCGACGGAGACGTACGCGGCCGGCGGGGACGCCGACCAGCCCGAACACGCGGGTTGGCGCGAAGCGCCGAAGAGAAGAACAACAACCGCATTCCACGGTTACCCAACACACACTGATTTTATTTACAGTCGCCTTGAAATCCTGGATGCCAGAGCGGCGCCCCCTGGCATCCTCACATGTCATTCCGAAACCGAAACCGAAACCCCAGAACTTTTTGTGTCTCGAGCATTTTCAGTTAAGATGCGAAAACAAGCTGTGATATGGTATTGTAAAGTGTTCAAGTGAGTAATGCAAACGCTTTTAACATAAAAGAGACCCTCCTGTATTCCATTATAGCACCGAATAGATGGATTATGTGGATAAAACTTTTAAGTTTACCGAGACTGGTTCGTGCATATTTAGCTTTGTCTCAATTATTAGAATGCATACATTGTTTCCTCAAGAACTTGTCTTGATCAGTTTCCACGCGAGGACTGCTCGCATTATCTTAGGATTATGGCGACTCAATAGCCGCCTTACGTAAAACGCCACTAGAATTGTATGATGACAGCATTCGAAGATAAAGAAACCTCCTGACTGTGATGTTTAGAAAAGTAAGAACACGACTCGGTTGAATATCTCGCATACCTACTATACTGTTATATACAAAGCGTGTGCAACGCTAAACAAAAGTGGGTCTTAAGGTCAATATATACATTTCTGTGACAAGGCAGAGCTAATTTTAATCCTTGTTTTCATGAGCAAATCTATCATATGATAACCTTGTTGGCTTTATTGATATGTTTGAATCAACTATACCTTTGTAAAGAACCGTTTCATGAAATTGTCCCTGTAAATTATTGTTGCATAAAACTGAGCCTTCACTTACACCTGCACCTCTTTTCGACAAAACTTTCAGCCAAACTTCTCAAGAAAAGGCAACTGCAGTTAAAATGTACGGCTACAATAAGGAAAACGCCATCACATACGTGACAGAAGGTAAGGTTTGCAGTTATGCCTTTTGCACCAGTGCTTGTTAATTTTGGATGCACAAAGCGTAAAGCCAAACCGTGAAACACTCACTCATGGTTGACTAGATAAAGCTGGAAGATCTGAGGCGTGTGTTTTGTGTGGGTAGAATTATCATGCCAGCGCTAGCTGCAAGAACACTGTTACTTCTTCTGAAATAATGTGTACTTGCTTTGTTCTCATGATATGTGAAGAGGAGGTGATTAGTGAGCTTCCTCCAGTGAAATATTTGTTTGACAAAGGGCTTGTTAGACTCACTAAGGTGCGTTACTCAACCATAAAATCATATCTCAAGTGTTGTTAGATTCACTACGGGTCTGAAGGCACTGTTGCCGATATTCGCAGTAAAAACAGCTGGGAAATACACCCATGTACAAGCACTACCAGCTGTAATTTTTATGCCAAAATAATTTAATTACGCTCTGTTTTATTACAGCAGTATAGCAAAAACGCTTTCTCTTATGTTTGCTGCGACATTACTGAGATTTGTCTTATTTTTGTCCTCAAGAACACCGCGAAGGGTAACAGAAATGCCCTGTTAGTTCACTAAGCCAGAAATAGGTATTTCCCCTAAGGTCCCTAGATGAAACAAGGTAGCGTCACTCATTGTTCTCGAGCCGTCCTTCTGTGATTGGTGCATTACTTGCACGTGATCTTGCAAATGGCTAGTGGTGTTATTTATTATTATGCAAAAGGTTCAAAACAAGTACGCATGCGCATATGGCTCCAGCCGTATTCTCGTCATGACCAATGACAAAATCGTAGCCAGAACATAAACTGAAGAGGAGGAGCGTTTCGGTGTGCGCTAAGTCGACCAAGATTGTTTCGCAATGCTCGTTCAATGCAACATCTGCGTTTTTCAGCAATGCTGCGTTGCCGTAAACAACAGAAAATGGTTTCGCTCTCTTCAACTTACCTCGTGCTTTCCGAGATGAAGCGCACCATGAAGTACAACTATGAACCATTTCACGCGAATGCTTTCGTGCAACTCCGTCAACGTATGTCGACGCGGATCTGCGAAGCGAGTTCACTTGTCGGTTTTTATTGAAACGTTAGGCGCGCGTCTAATGCGTGTCTAGGGCATGCCAGTTGGTACAAATACATGTGGGTATGCACGTATACAGAGCAGCTGTAGGTTGTAATCAACGCACCTTCAGAAACATTTCACTCTTGACCAGTTCCCGCTTGAGCCGAAACGCGCTGCTTCGAGACACCTCACCAGTGGAACTCTCACTTTACAGGAAGTTCCCAGCACCGCATCAGAATCACTTGGCATCACGATTGTCCAAATGGGCGCATTAAAAAAAAACGTCATCGCAGTGCTGCTGGACGAGTGTTCGTACCAGTCTGGTCGTAGTTTTTTTTTCTTGCGTGTGCACAAGCCGGTTGTAATCAATCGTCACAACGTCACGCCCTGTGGCCACTTACAGGATCCAGCAAGAAGCACGTTCACTGTGTCACAGCACGAACAAAATACAATCGGAGAAGTGGACTAGTTAGAACTGGACGAAATACCGCGGACGTGGAACTAAAATGTACTGCGCGAGACGCCATGGCTAGTGGTGTAAAGTTGCCGGTTGAGTAACGCACATCCCGCTTGCTCTTGTGTTGTGCCGTTTATGTTCATAAAGGTAACTGTTTATTCTACGTTTCATTTTGTTTCATTTACATCTATTCACCGTAGCAACAGAACCCAAACATTCGCTTTTGGATGAAAGTTTAAAACCTTCTAGGGGGCGCTTCAGGCAAATAAGCGAGGAGGAAAAGGGAGGGTGGCGCTACCTTGGAAACTTATTTCATCTAGGGACCTTAATTTCCCCAACAGAGAAGCGCCATCTAGGACCCATCATGTTCAGCATCGTATCACCCTTTATAGGTTATCACCATGTTGTGCGGACCTCTCAAATAGTGTAGCGCATTTTCTCCGCTTTCTCACTTTTTGAGGCAACAAGCGTGTGATTTGCTTGTGAACGCGTAATACAATCAAGAGAATCGTTCGGCTTTAAATCGCTTCCCAAGGGTAAGCTGAATGGCGTTGTATTTTTTCTCGTTTAAATCGCCTTTCTATGTTTGACAATCACACAAGATTACACGAACTGCACACTCTGTTATGGAGTATAAAAATCTCTTCTGTATGTTTTCAAGCAATGCGTTTTTTCACACATTTAGAGTGGGGGTCATATATATACAAATGTGACGCTTTAAGCCATATCGCATACATTTGGTTAGATTTCGGTTCATTATTCTATCTCTTGCTACTTAACCGCCGCAGGCAACAATATTAGCATCGCATAATCACCGTAATCTTTTAGGTTGACGTTGGTCAGCACCTCAAGGGTTTCGCAAAACAAAGACATAGTTAAATAAAGCAGTAGTCCTCAACTTCTGTGGCTCAACTGCAAGAAACCAGATGCATATGCCAAAGGTTGAAGGTGTGAGCCACCGTAATACCATAAAATAAATAAGTGCAATAATAAACTTTTACATTGTCATAATGCATCTATTTCTAAACACTTTCACACGCTTATTGCATTTATGCACTATGCATAATTTTTATGTTTGCTTGCAGATGGACAAGTTTTCACAGACGTCCTCGCATTCTCTGACGATAATTGCTACGTGGTTTACGCTCTTGGCGCAGACGGAACTGAGGGAGGTACGCAACTTCATTGACTTCCATTCCTACCAGAAATTGTAGCGAAGCGCTCTCGTGAAATTATCGTGCATTTTTCCTGAAGTATCTACTTTGAGTGTTTCAAAAATTGAGTTACTAGATAACTTCATGAGCTGCTTGTTATCTGCTTTTCTCTTTGCTCAATATGAGCACTGTTCACGAGTTTTTTATTTGCGACAGTTATACATGAATGACATTCTTATTTGTAATTTCGTGCACATGTTGTAGACGGCATCTAAAAGTGCCTTTGAAAGTAGTTCATGTAACTCTTTTTTGTCATGCGAAGCTTTGTCTAACTTTTATTCGTTAGCCTGCATCATTCAGAAAAATGACACAAGTGTTTCTACACCTAAAACTGTTAGCATACTCTAGAAAATGTAGGATAAACTCTGCGAGCAAGTGTGATCTATATGTTGCTCTTCGATGGAGTTCTTCATTCTCTTTTTGGGCATTATCTCCAACATCCCTGTAAAAAATATCAGCCATGTATATGAAGAAGCTTCGTTAGCTGTATAAAGCTCTTAGCCAAATCCACAAAAACTGCAGTCTGCAGTCCGGTTATCACCACAAGGGCATCGGATTACTAATATTTTTTTTTCTGCGAACTTAGAGAAAAACATATTTAGTAGACCAAAATGAATGATTTGCAGCCGCTATTGATTGTTAAAATTGGCAACATTTACGCGTGAATATGAAGGTTCTTACTGATATTGTTTTTCTTAAACAGTTACACCAGATTGTTCGTATCGATAACACGCCTATCGCTATATATTTAACGCTTAACGTTTATCTTGCCTGCTTCTCAAACTCGGTGCACCTTAAACTCATAAAAATATAGGTGACGCCAAAAATAGGTGATGAACCGAGCCTCAGTATGATTAAGGATCATCAGTTGGAAAGATAGCCTTTGAATATAGTGCTAACAGCCAAAGCTACAGACAACGATCGAATTAATGGTATAATGCAGCGAAAACACATTGGACACATTGCGTCATGTGCGTACCAGGCTATTGTAAGACGTGTTTTGTAAGATCGGAAGCGTCATTTAGCATATCAGGTATTTGTACACTTTCAAATATTTATCGTTCTGCTTCAGAAATCGCGCATTATATTCCGAGAATGAATCTCTAAATATGCTTGAGTATTTATCACTGTGTACGCCAAAAAAGTATGATTAACTGGCAGTTTGCAAGAAAACGCAACTGCGAAGAATACTTTTTTTTCTATTGTTTCTGAGCCATGTATTGGTGCACGTTGTCTTGAAGACATTGGTTTTCGGCTCAAGAAACATGTTTGTCGTATTTTGCGGCACTAATCTATAACTTGCATTCTGTTTCAGGTTACGAGCTATGGGCCAAAGATTCTAACAATGTTCCAACCAGTTGTCTGGAAAACTTCAATGAGTACGCTGCCGGTCTACCGGTGCGGGACGTATTCACAAGTGATTGCTTTCCAGAGAGAGAAGAATAACTTGACAATTTCGTGCCTTGAACTTCAACTGTGGTATTGCCAAATGATGCCTCTATGTATGATGCAGTGCGTTCGACGATATTGTTCACCTTGGTTTCTTGTGTTTGGTACTTTCAAGTCACTGCTGCAACCTAGCAGCAGTACTCTGAAATAAATGATTCTGTAGATGGAATACAGCGTTCAATTATTGGAAATGTTTTAGGCCCGTGTGCTCAGATTTGGGTGCACGTTAAAAAACCCCAGGTGGTCAAAATTTCCGGAGCCCTCCGCTATGGCGTCTCTCATAATCATATCGTGGTTTTTGGACGTTAAACCCCACAAATCAATCAGCGTCCAATTATCAATTATCAGATGCTTGTACTGTGCTCAACTCGGCTGTCTATAACGACGGAGCGTCGTGCTCAAAACAGAATGGGCGACCCCTGCTGTTGAAAGTAGACCACATCTGAGCATGCGCGGCGCTGTAATGTGCCTGCCTTGCAATACTGATCCTTGATTATCACCGCGGATGCAACAACCACTCTGGCCGTCAAAAGCGCTCTGAGCGATTTCACAAAAAATAAAAAAAGAAGAAAGAAAGACGAAGTAAACCGTTGTCACTGTGATTCGATATCACGAAGCGAGAATATTTCTTTTTTGTTGTTGTTTTATTTCCATTTCGTAATGTTACAGTGCTTCAACGGTCAAAACAGGCATCGCGGCCACGGAGATAAAGATGGGTGGAAACTGCTGTGCAGGCACATCATTCGCGCCGCGCATGCTCACATCTGGCGTATTTCCGACTGCATATATCGCTTGTGCTGATTCGTGCGCGACGCTCGGACATTATAGACAGACGAGTTGAGCACTGTACGTCTTAGCAGCAGCAGCCATACCCACACAACATGTCTCGAATACAAATGAGAATCGTGTGTTGAATTTGAAGTTATAAGAAAACTCCAACCAGAACACGATTTCTCGAAATTGGCTACAACGAAACCACGTGTCGATTAGCTACATTGCCGGATCCGAGAAGCCATAGGCCCTACACCAGAAAACGCAGGGCTCAGCCTCACCCACATTATATCATCCATCATCTGCACCCTCATATGTTTGCCCGAAAATCACGCACCTGTGCAAAAAAGTCTAGTCGTGAACCGGATACCGTGCGCCGACTGCCGCTCTTCTTACATCAGGGTAAGAAGCATTTTCACGAAAGGATAAGGCATCACAAGAGCAACCTTTGTCAAGCCAGCAGCGAAGCGAATTCAGTATCAGATCACTGCTAGTAGTTTTACTACCCCCTCCGGCCCCACGACCCGGGGATTCTGGTAAAGGAGAAGAACCCTCTCCAGGGTCTAATGGTCTAATGATTGAGGTACTCGGCTGCTGACCCGCAGTTGGCGGGATGCAATGCGGACTGCGGCGGCTGCATTTCCGATGGAGACGGAAATGTTGTAGGCCCGTGTGCTCAGATTTGTGTGCACGTTAAAGAACCCTAAGTTCTCGAAATTTCCGGAGCCCTTTACTACGTTGTCTGTCATAATCATATGGAGGTTTTGCGACGTTAAACCCCATAGATCAATCAGAACCCTCTCCAGTGAATCCTAGTCAAATCCTGGCGCATTCAGCAGACACCGGAAACATCAAACTGCTCCATGAAGATATTGCCCTCCCTCTACTGCCAGAGCTGAGACCTTCACGGCGATCTTCTCGTGGACGGCAAAGAACAATGTATAATCGCCACGTATCTGTGGCCCTTTCCAAAAAGCAGCAGTCCCCGCAAATAAATGTTAGGATTTTTATAAAATATACTTTTCTTGTGGGTTTCTTTTTCTTTCAGTTTATATCATAACTAGTCACACTTGTGCGAAATGTCCGGCTTTAAATTGCACCATTTGCTTGTGCTTTTTGACTAGTGGTCCATCTGTTTTTAATAACCTTAGTTGTGGCAAAAAAGGGAAACTGTTCATTGCTGATGAGAAAGGCGCCAGGTGAATAGGCAATCAACGCTGCCGCACCTAAATTTGGGGAAACTACAACTTCATACATGTATTATGGTGAACAGTATCGACTGGAACACGGGGTTAATGTCTATTCAATGTTTATATTTACTGAATTGATACGAAAAAGACGTATTTACTTGCCAGACGTACATTCACGCTTGAGTTTCACTCTGTCGAGCACTTTTTCTCCGCTGGCAAAGGGGTGCCACGAAATCTATTTGCCAGCAACGTATATTTCTGGGCGGGTTGGTTAGTAGTAATAATTGGAAGAAAGCACTAAAATGCTAACCTTATTGAAAAATATCGACAGTCTGTTGGTTTCAGGAAATACATAATACGCACTAGTGTTGCTCTGTTGCTAACGGTGGCGGCTTGCTGGTGGCTTTCTGCTGGTGCATGTCTGTTGGCAGCAGCCTACAGGTGTTGGTCTACTGGTAGCGGCCTTCTGGTGCTGGTCTGTAGGTGCTGCATTGTGCGTATTGACCAGTGTAATCCGCATTCTCGTCCACCATCCCAGTCAGGCCATGAGAAATGAAAAAAACTGCGATGAACCATACTATTGTGCTATAGGACGAGCCGTTATGAGGTGGTTGCTAATGCAACAAATGCATCAAAAATTGGACATAAACACGTTACCTAACGCGTGAAATAAAGAAGAACCACAATATTTCAGTGCGCAATAAAGGCTTATCGATTTATGCGAATTTTTTAGCATGTACCCAAGATTTTGGCACACATGTTTGTGATGGGCTTGAAGTGTTGCCAGCTTCTTCAGCAGGTGTCTCGCTCATTTACGCAAAAAATAAGGCTACACAAAACAAAGCTAATCAATAACGTCTTCAATTTTTCTTCTATCATGCTGCTATTGCAAAACACAGAGCCTCTAGTTACCAGCGTCCGGTGCAATGCCAGATATATTGGCCCAGTATCGCGCTGGAAACTTTTGCGTTAGAGCGGAGTATCACTAGGAGGTGTTCAGTATACAGCGCAGAACACGTTAACAGCGTTAAACCTGGGCACATAGTCACCCTAAAGTATTTTTTATAAAACAGGTAATGTATAGCGCCCTACTGCAATAAATTAAAAAAACAGTAGGACAACCACCTAGATAATCCGAACTCGCTACCTCCTGATCCCTAACCTCAATAAATCTTGAATACTACATCCCACCAGAACCCATTCAGTTGCTAGTAAAATCACTATTTATCCAATGGACTTGCTGCTGAACTTCATGTTTACAAGTCGGACAGTTAACAAAGACACAATATCTCTTTCTAAGTAACAACTGCGTCTTTATTCACTGCTATTGACCGGCTGCCGGGCACCGACGTGCGCATATTTCCAAAAACCTAAAGTTTGTTGAGGAATTCACACCTTAACTCCGAAAAAAATCAAATTGACTTTAGAAGCAGCCACATATTGCCGACTGTTAGTGCATATTTTTTTCGATAGCCGTTTCTCACTCTTGCGACTGGTCAAAATATTCGAAATTTTTGTGATGACTTGTCTGATATATATGTGAGTACACAATTGAGTATTAAGTAGTATTATCACGCAAAGACGATTTGACAGACTACAGCGGGCGTGCCAGTGTACCTATTTGCAGTTAAATCGACGCCTACAACTACCCTGCAAGGGCGTATGTGCAAGCATGCGTTTGGTGTGTAGCGACACCATTGGCGCAAGCTAACGAGGGTTGCGACCTCTCCCCCACCTAGCCGTGCTTGACTTTTCCGTATCCGGGGAGAAAGAGATCCAGGGGCTTGAGCCGAGACCGGGTGATTGGACCTTTAAGACCCCCCGGCAGAGGCAACACACTCTTTTCAAGTAGACAGCTTCAAGTAGATGGCCAATCTTGGCTGATCCACCGAGGTGAAACCAGCAGTCACCTTTTTCTATCTCTCTCTTTCTAAATCTTCGAATTTTTTCTCTTTTTCACTCTTTTCGGTCATCTCCTTATTTCTGTTTACATCCATTCTTCAAGACGGCAAGCGCTAACCTTTTGTATGTTCTCTCTCTTGGTCACGTATTTTTGAGTTATAGAGTCTTTCTACAACTGGCGCTGGCATGCCTGTTTTAATTGTGTTGCTGCGTCCCCATGTTGGGCTCTGTGGTGAGCGGCTGGCATGGCTGCCGAACCTAAATCTATTTATGGCCTCTTTTCTTTTCTACTAATTGTCTGAACACCTTCCCTGTAAGATGGGGTGCACAGAAGGAGTGCTGAATCACTTCCCTAAACCCAAACGAATTTCCCCGCGTTTCCATGTTATTCACTGTGCAACGCAAAAGAACGCAAGAAAAATTTCTTCATTTAACATACCAAATGCCTCCCGAATACACTTGGCACAGGTTATCAGGCTATGGCTAGTTGCGACGTTGTTCTCGAAGTATAAAGCAAGGCCCAGTACGAAAACTTCTCAAAACTCCCCTCTTTCGGAACCACACCTGTATCTATTACACCGTCTCATTCTCTAATGTTGCCCGAGACCTACTGTCTGATCAAGACCTAATCAACCTTACAGAGAATGAGCTCCTTGAGGGTTGGGAAAAACAGCACGTAACACATGTTCAGATAAATAATGTCAGCCTTGACAACAAAGAAACAGCGTCAAAGCACCTCGTTCTTACATTCTGAACAAGCACACTTCCGGAATACATCAAAACAGGCTACTTGAAGATGAAGGTCCGACCCTACATCACCAACCCCCAGTGTTGTTTCAAGTGTCAGCGCTTCCACCAGTGCTCTCAGAGCTGCCACGGCCATCTAACCTGTGCGAAGAGTAGTTCGCACCAACACGCTACAGGCAACTGTGAAGAAGAAACTCTCACTGCGGAAACTTCAACGGTAAACACCCCGCTTACTCTAGCACATGTCCTACCTGAGAACACGAAAACGAAATACTTACGCTATAAGTAATTGAAAACAACACAATTAGGGAGGTAGGCATGCGTCTGCCTTTCCGCGTCTCTCATAATCATATGGTGGTTTTGGGACGTTAAACCCACAAATCAATC